TACGGCAGATTTCATCATAGGTATACCCGCCCTCAAAAAATGTTAAATCAGTTCGTCTCTTATGAAAACTATTAAGGAATCGAACATTGTAAATAATCTATTATTTACATTCCGTTCTGTGGGATATCGTGCAGGGACAGACAGAAATATTACATAGGCTATAGTCAGGCTGTTAACGAGTAAAGTTACGTCTAGAGTAAAGTTAATGAGAAAAACAATCTACCCTAACAAAAGATAATCAAGATTATGACCACTTAGACAATTTTCTTTTTCACTTTACAAATGGTATATCATGTCAATTTTTATTTTCCCTTTTCGCAAATACCCGTAATTGCGAATTCAATGGGTCTAAATGCAACCGCCGACACAGACCCAAACAGTTGTGATTGGATCCGGAATACCTCAAATTTATAAGACAAATTATGGTGGCCCTGGAGGGACATCGCCAATCGTCAATATTGCCATCAATATTTGCGACCAAATTCACGGTCATGAATATTACCGTCAAAATTCACGACTCGTGCAAGCGGTGCAACTATCTCCAGTCGCAAATATTACGGCGAATCTTTTCAGCAAGCCAGGTACTAGAGATGTTGCTCGGCTATAGACAGTAATTGCTTTTTAACGCTGTGCTCCCTGCGTTGTGCCAAAATCTGCCCAGCCGAATAACGACTTGAGATCACGCCGAAAATAATTATGTAAGTCATTTCCGCCTCGCTTGCGGCGATATTTGCGATTCGAAATACCAGTTGTGATTCGTGAATTTGGTCGTGAATACAGGCGTCAGGCGCGACCGAAGAGTGGCTCGTGGGGGCCGCAAATGTTAATGTCATTGGAGATGTCCCCCAGGGCCACCACACTAAAGGTCACAAATGCTTGACTATAACAGTTTGTGGAGTGACCCAGTAACCCCTCTTTCTCCCCACATACCAACCTATAAATAACTCTCGTTAGAAACTTCAAGTCACAGTATGTTGTATAGCGTCCTCCTTCGTTATCTGAATAAAATTAAAGGCCGATCCAATGAAGAACAAAAATAAAATTCACCACAAAATGCACGAAAAGCAATACATCAAACAGACACATGTGCATGTACAATGTGTAATTGTGTATGGTAAAAAATACCTGTACACGCACATTTGCACATGTACGCATGCACGGTGAGAACTGTTGATCACAACTGTTCAATCAGTGTCATCAAAGCAATTGTTTGCAGCCCAAAGTGACTTTGGCCACTTTCAAGAAAACTGAAAAAAAAATCGCAAAATGTGAAAAAAAACCAAGCTTGATGTGCCACAGTTGGAGGGCCCAGCCCCTTTATTCTATTGCAGTACTCAGCATATACTCTACATTTTTTAATGATCATTGCACATTGGTTTACCCATGGAGGTCATATGTTACTTCCATCAGGAATGGTGCCCATTATATAGGTCTTAAAATGTGGACGTGCTACCTCATTTAGATCAAAATATGTGGTAGGAAACATTTCTGTCATTTCAATTTCCGACGATTGTCTCATTACGAAAGCATGTGCATCCCCTCCCCCGTCCGCTATACATTCTACCAGCCAGGAGCTGTCGACACTCAAAAGGGAAACACATGCACAAGGTTAACTGACCTACATTAGGTTTCCGTATTGCAGGAAGGTTGACACGCCTAGGACCATCGAAAGGTCATGTGAAAGATCAAAGCCGTCTGCATTAATTTACCAGTCCGTGATGAATGAGGCCCATGCTCTGGGGCTGCCGAATGCGACTGTCTGGGCTGGTGCGTGCTTGGATCCAAACTGTATGGTTTCAACACTCGTATTGAACATCCACTGCAGTTTTGGTAAACCTTGCTTTATCTTCGTCATCTGTACAGCCTGATGTGACATATCGCAACTGGTGAGTTTGTTTTGCTGATGAATTGGTATCATTTCAAACAGTCCTGGTCTTTAATGTTGCTTTCGTGGTAGTGTACTCGAAATTCTTCCATAAAGCATGCGATCAGACGTACAGTACATATACATGTACATGAGCGTCCGAGACTTAAGGAAGGCAAGGGAACGATACTAGGAACACCCAACTTGAAAGAACTGAAGAGAAAGAATTAAAACGGGAAAGGCGGGGAAACAAGAAAGAGTGAAATTCACCAATTTCTGTAAAATGGTCCGAAATTGACCCCCCCCCCCCACCGTGACACACGGTGTTGATGGTTTGACAATACAATAGTACATGAAATGGATGAGCTTCTCCCTTTGGAAAGAGGTTTCCCTTGTTCGTATATCAACATCGATGTGATGTATGTTTCCTTTCAAGTTATACGCGTTGACAACTCCAATTGGTATGCGGGTAGTGTGGAAAAGACTACGTGTTAAAAAGCAGGGCCTGGCCCTAAATGAAAGGGCTCAAAAGAAATAGATGCGTTTGGATTCCACGCATTCAAAAGGAGATTTTCATTTAGCCATTCATTTAGTACTGTAGGCTGAGGAAGTTTGGTGCTCAAGGGATAAGTTTGCCAGAAAAAAGCCTCGGTTCCTAAAAGGGAATTTCTGTTGTTTCAAGGCTAAACATATTATGACTGTCATAAATTACAGGTTTTGTAAAGTGCATCAATTTCGATTCCAAAACGTTCCCAATTTGCACAAATATACCAGAAAATTAACATTTTTAACACATTTTGAGGTTCTAATAACTATAGATTACTCTCACATTGCCCACTGTTCGTAAGATTGAGTACCGTCCTAATTTGTTTGCAAATTTTACCTGAAACCTTATATTTTCCAAATTACCTTTATATTTATAGCATAAAATCTTAATTATTTTTTGGTTTTGACTGCTATGTGAGATTCCATCGACCCATAGTGCATTATTCCTTTGCTTTAAAGTTTATACTGACGGTGAGCCATTGTTTCAACAGCCTCTGCCCCTGTACGTATGTGCAGGCCAAAATATAAGTGTGACGCAAGAACCAACTTTTGTAGCTACTCAGGTGCCCAAAAATGTAAACCCACTGTCTTGATTTGTTTGTACTAATTTGCACGTGTAATGCAGGAACTAGAGCTGCACGGATTTCTCCTTGTCAGCGTGATCACCAGACTATGGCGTCAGTGTAGCTAGCTCTGGCTTAACGCGGGTTAGACTATCGGAATAATGGATTTGCGAATGCGGGCCTGTGGCTCTCGCACTTCAAAAATTTCATGGGATTTTTTTTTTTTAAGCGTGCGAGTGACCTAAACCGAAACATTCTCAAACGTCGAAGAACATAGAGCTGCGGGACAAGCCATGGATTGACAGAGGAATATTAAATATTTAGCCTTACTAAAGTGGTCTACAGCGGTTATGAACTGTCATAGATGACAAGGACAAATACCCTCACTTCAAAATTCAGGACAAAACGACTCTCCAAAATCAATGCGACATATCGAAGTAAATCTTATTTCACTGACCTTTTATTCTGTTTGTTTTCTTTGTTTCATCACCAAAAAGGTACATCCGTTCCAGTGCAATGTGAGAGATTTCTCAGAATTGCATGCGATCTCACAATCCTTTTAGTGATGATAACAATAGACACTTAAGAAGCGCAGACATACACCTGATGCAAGGTGTTAATGGCGATACATGTATACATTGGCATGTATACATTGGCATGTATACATGTACATGTATTATCTTTTGGGACCGTCCATAAAGTACGTACGCCAACGCCCATTATTAGTAAACCATTACTCATGACACAAAGACCGCCAGCGTCTTCCGGAAACATACAGGTGCCCTCACCCTATCCGTGCGGAAGTATAATGTATTACACTGTAACTAAAAATGTACAACCCTTTCCACTCTTGGGCAAAAGTGGACAACCGATGATTTTTTGGTTAACTACTCTGATGCGTACGCGTGCAGGGGGTTGGAGGTAATGCGTACGCCATGGAGCAGGGGGTCTGAGAAGTCGGCATTTCGTACGTACGTACATGTACGTTATGGACGGCCCCATATCCCTGCACTTTTTGCTCACAACATCTGAGCATATCTGAAATCACCTTAGCTCCTCGGGGATTAGGCCTATATTACCCCGCTGCTAAACATAACCATATCTATCCCCATTTACTCCTAGGTGGAGAGAGGCACGTAAAAGTATAAAGTTACTTGCCCGAGATCACATAATGCTGCCACCAGTTGCATTCGAACCCCCGACCCCATGATCAAAAGCTACAAGCCTTAACCACCGGATCGCAATCCCTTTCATGTGACCCAGTGTCCACAATTCTGTTCTTCTTTTTCATAAGCCCACAAGACTCAAGGGTCAAGATATTCTGTGTGATGAGAGAAGACTGATTCGGCATGGTCTTGGGGGCCCCCATAGCCTCCAACTCACGCCAGTTTTTTTTTCATATTCAAATTACGCTGGCCTACGTTTAAAGATGAAGTTGCGAGACTCACGAGTTACATGTATGAGATTTGGATAATATTTCAATTCAATGGCTGGGGAAAATCTCCCAAATACACTGTGGCCACACAATCATTTCTTTCAAAACAGGTTTCGATGCGTTCCCTGTAATCATGCCTCTCAAAAATGAGCCAGCTGTCTCTAATAGTCCTTATGTCAATATTTTCGGTCTCATTATTTTCATAATGAACTTTTAAAAGTACATGTAAGTTGTACTTAATGACTTTCTCCCTTAAAGATTTACATTTTTTGGGCTTCAGATTTATTCAGTGACAGTTTATAAGCACTGCTTTCTTTGGAGCGATTGTCTATAATGCCTGTCTCAGAAAGCATTAATCGCGTGGAGAGTGTGATGCACAGTAGAAAAGGTTACGCGGCAAGTCAACAGATCCGCTCTTTTTTAGCTTTACCGAAATTTGCTGCTGCTCGAACATGCGCACGTACACTCACAGAATGAATGGTAAAACATTATTGGTAAAAAAAAAACTTGGTGAAATATTACACGACTTAAGTAAAATTTGGCCAAAGTGAAATGCACAACTATTATTCTGTAATTTTAAACTAAAATGTTTTCAATGTAAGTTTTCACGGTCAAACTCTGACACTTGCTATATAAAATTTACAAAACATTACGTGAAAGTTAAACGTTCTGTTGATATTTACCGACACAACGGGTACGTATCACCACGTTTTCCACGTGTGTGCGTCCACCAAGGGCTTCAAGACGGAAAATATGAAGAAAGTTGTATCGGAGTGCAGTTTAGACCGGAAAACACAGAGTTAGGAACTGTTAAAGTAATGGAATAGGAAGTTTTTGCTCTTTAAAAAGTGAGCCCCCATGTTCAAGGTCAAAAAGTCAAATTAAATATCATATAAAATTTGTTTAATCAAAATAATTTCTTGATGTAGCATGTCACCCAAGAAATGTGGTGTTTTATAAACCGCTAGGCCTATAGCTTTGTTTGTGATGATTTCTTCAGTATTTTAGACATGGAAATTTAAATTTGGTGGGTAAAACACAAAACACCACAGGTGCTAATTTTGAGTCTTAAGTGGTATCCCTTTTTAAATTAACTTTTAAACAGACTGAAACCACCATATCTTCACAGTTTCTAGAAGATTCTGCAGATTCTTTTAATATTTGCTTTAGGCTAGAAAGAAAAAAAGAAAAACAAAAATGCAAATAAGAGTTTCAAAATAACATTCTTCATCAAAACTACTAAGACCATGTTTCAAATTAACACTGACTTTCTGCTTTTTGTTGCCTAAAACTAACTGTGGCTTTTCTGCACATTGCTTAGGGGTAAGGATTGATTTACCAGAGAACAGTGAGAAATATTTATGTGATTGAACACTATGCGGACTGGGGTGCTCTTGCTGCCAGGCTTCAGCTGAGGACTTTAGGGTAGGCTATGTAGTGTACAGATCCTCTGTAGAAGGCCATCCCTTCCTGGGTCATCTCTCGTGCTGTACGCCTCGATTCATCATGGGTTTGTGGATTGTACACATCAGCTTTGGTGACACCTTGGCTGAGCCTCCGCTCAAGGGTCTTTAACGTTGCCTGGGCAACCTGCCTATTTTCTGGCAGATTGGCAGGATCCTTAATCCAGGGATACTCAGCATCCCAATGGGTGCCATGGAACTTCAGATTCTGCTCGGTCAAGGCAAGCTCCCTCTCCTCCTTCAAGGTAAAGTCCTTGGACCCAATAGGACACTTGCCACACCTGCTCAACGCGGGTTACATTCAACCCCCATGCTCTCGAGCAGAAGGAACTCATGAATTCTACTTGTCGTAACACGATGAGTCATCATTGCCGCAGTGATCACTCTCTTTGTCTTTTCTTTGATAGCTGGGTGGGTACCGCCAAGACATTTCCCCATTCTGTTCTCCAAGATCAGCAGATGGTCCACTGCTTTGAGTCTTGTCGGGTTAAAGCCTGCATACTCATAGCCGATGAGCAGGTTCACCTGTCCTCTAGGTCTTTCGATCTCGCCATGCCTGATGCCCTCGAAGAGACTCAGTACTCGTACGTCTGTGTTCTTGATGTCGGCTGTAATGCGGTCAGTTCCATAGGCGAAGGTCTGGACTGTGTATCTATGTTTATCGATGAGGAGTACAGCGTATCTAAAGCTGTCTATCTCCGCTGTCACTTCACCCACCTTTGAGATAGATGCCTTATCGGGGGTTCCTCTCTAGCGTGCTGCTTTGGCAGCGGTGTTGGTGAGGAGTGAAGACGTGGCACAGTCATCCCATAACACGTTCAAGTGTGGGCCGGCCCAACTCGTATCTTCATCAACTGAAGGAGACGCGTAATTTCTCTTCGAGGAAGCAACAGTGTAATTATTATTAACAGTTGCATTCGTAGCCACATCATTGGTTGAATCCTCGTGTAGAGATGGGGTGTGGAGTCCGATACAGCTCTGCACACCATATTCCTTCCTCGAGTCAAGCAGCAGAAGCATGCGCCTTTTTCTTTCACTTGTTGAGTTTTGTCCTGTAATGACTTCACCAGGTAGGCCCAACACTCCGACGTGTTATGCTGCTCTGATAATAATAATACTAATGGACAGTTTTTAGTGCGCCGTTTCCATAAAAATGATCAACGGTGCAGCACATGTTAACGTACAAAATAATTGATGAAAGAATCAATGAGAAATTTCTTGACATTCTGCTGTGGAGCGTCATTCTCCTT